ACCGTATCAAAGTTCCACATTTTTCATCACACATCCCTTTTCAGAGCAGATTATTTGTCTCCCGTGGTCTTTAACTGTATATTGTGCAAACTCCGAAAGGTAAGGAATTGGGTTTGAACGCTAAGGTGGTGGACAACATTTGAGAGATGCCGTGACGGGCTCAAGCTGAATTTCTGAGTTTTATGCCCTTTTCGAAAGAGACAAACATTTTGTAACGGTTTATTATTAAATAATTTTTTTCGTTAGCAGTTTTGTTTTCTTGAGTTCTAATGTTATCAATAATATAAAATATTTTTGCATATGTTTGTGCTCATGTAATTAAGTCATTGTTTTTGTAAACTGTATAAAACATTTTTAGGGTCTTAAAAGTAATGGTATAATAGTATTTTTTACGGCATCTATTTGCTCAAATAGATGGAAATATTACTGGTGTGATGTTCGATGTCCTTGAGAAACATGTACTAAACGTTTTTGCGGATGAATTGCCGATAACATGAATATTTCATTGTAATGACCCCATGCACAGGACACAAATTTTTAAAGGAACGATGAAGGGGAGAAAAACCGTAAATAAATAAATAAAATATGAAACAATTTTATGTAAGAATATATTTTCAACTTTATTCGCAAAGTTATAGAGTTTCGAAAGAAACAAAACTTTACCTTATACGTGTGTGTTTGATCGACAACGAGAAAGCAAGTCTTTAAACAACTATAGTGAGAATGCAAGTGAGTCGCGGTGAGTAAATGCAGCAGTTCGTATGCACCGTTTTGTGGTATGATTTATTGCCATTTTAAAGATAACTTCATAATGCATCTCTCATAGAAGTCCTGCTCTATATTTGCAAAAAACTCTAGTAGTCGATTTTCACAATCCTCCCTAGATCCCAATTTTTTATCATTACAGAAACTTTGCAATGCAAGAAAAAAATGATAACTGCTTGGTGCCCAGTCCGGATTGTATGGCGGATGCCTTTAAATTTCCCGAAGTTTCCGGCGAGTGACTGTAGGTGTGTGTGGCCTAGCGTTGTCCTGGTTGAACACGGCACCTCTCCTGTTGGCCAATTCTGGCCGTTTCTGGTCGATTGCTATCTTCAAACGTCCAGTTGTTGACAGTAGAGATCAGAATTTAGCGTTTGACCATATGGAAACAACTCATAATAAATAAATAATAAATAAACCTTCATGACCGTTAGTCCTGGTTTGACCACTGTTTAATTTGATTCACCGCTCTTCGACCACGATCGTTTTCGCAAGGGGTTATTGTGTGTGATCCATTTCCCATCTCCAGTCACCATCCGTTTAAGGAATGGGTCTATCTCATTCCGTTTGGCCAAGGCTACGCAGATGGAAATTCGACCCAAACATCGAGTTTCTTTTTGAATCCAGCTATGTGTAAATGGTTTAAAACAGTTTATGGTCGAATTTTAGCTCGACTTTTACTGGATTTAATTTTTTTCCAACCTAATAAAAACCTATTGTTTAGGTTCGATACATTATTTACGACAATGTATATGTTCGATATGTTGTTCACTCCTTCCGAAGCATACTAATTATTATTCACATTAATTGGCCACTCATTTGAGTCAATGGGGGAATCTTCTTTGCACTTCTTCGAGGAGTCACATTCGCCTAGTTCGGATTGTAGGAGAGAGTATCCGCTGAAAATATATTCTTACATAAATTTATTTCATTCTGTTTTTATTTCCTTTTTGGTTTTTCTTCCCTTCATCGGTATCACGCCAACATTTTGATCCGTTCGAGCCGGATATTTCCTAGGATCGTTGTTCCATTTGATCCAATAAGGAGAAAAACATCATCACCCCTCACCAAACACAACAATTCATCATCAACATCAAAACTGCATCATTCAAACACTACATCATAAACTTAAAAGTACGTAGTTCTGTTTCCTAATATTGAGCATACTGCGAGTGTTGTCGTTCTTTATTTCGCATTACAAATATATATACATATACATATATACACTTTTATTTTTCTAAATTGTTCCCTACACCGCGTACTGGTCCCCTTTCAATTACCTTAACGTGTGCATAATAACAAAATCAAATACAGTCCACTCAGTGTCGCATATTATTGCTTTCGTTTGTGTAATGCGTCTTTGTTATTTATCACTAGTGGCTACTCATACACCCTCGCATTCTTGTTGAATTCATCAGCTACTAGTGAGAAAAGAAAAGGAAGCACTAACAATACTACTAACATCGTTCCTTTTTTCTTATTACTCTCAAGCTATCAACAATTTTATATCGCATCCACTATTCTCGTTTGTTTGCATAAACATAACAATAATATTCCACGCGCCTTTTTATAGCGTCTGTTGGTTAACATCTAATCATACCAACAACATATCCATCTCCACCACTCTCACTGTGGGATCTTGCTCTCCCCACACCTCTGTGTTGGTTCGTTGTCGTTGGTCTGTTTGTGGTACGTTAGCCGCCCGCTCAAAACTGCTCGTGTTTTATTCCATTTTGTGCGGTATTCGTTATTCACCACTGCACAGTGGGTACGTTGTAAAATTTTTTAATTTTTATAAATAATTTTTAAAATATTTTATAAAAAATGTTTGTTATATTTTTTGGTCTATAGTCGATTGTTGGACTATTTAACAAAAAGTACCCTACTTTCGGCATACAACAGGCGCATTCAAAGCATTAATTTCTTGTTAATAAAAAACTCTTTTTATGCATTTTTATTGAAATTTTTGTATTTTTTTTTTGCGAAAAATTAGATATTTACTTTTCATACAGAAATTATTTGTCTGTAAAATAATAGCATAATTTGAAATTTCGTGCACGGTAATTGCGATCTTCAAATTATTTTCGTCACTTTTTGTTCCTTTTTTTGGAAATTTCACAAAATTTGTGGATTTTAGTCGTTTCTATCGACTATATTTGCTCTTTTTCATCCTTTTGTCCTTTTGCAAATTCGACTGTGTGTACCCTACATTCGGTTCTAGTCGACCTCAAATAGTAAAAATATAGATTTTTTTTACTTTTTTGCTTCGCCTCCTATCGAGGCAATAAATTTGACCACATTATCTGAAGCACGAATAAATTTTGTCAATGGAGTGACCGACATGATTCTATAGAAAAACAAACGTTAGCGAAGCAAAAAAGTCCAAAAAAGGTTTCGATAATGAAATTAATAGCTCTAGTAATAGTTGGAATATAAATTCATCAAATATTGTTCAACCTGAATTTCCAAATCCTGCAGACGTCTCCATTTCTAATTGGAGTTTGCCGGCTAATGTGTCAAATACCATGCATAATCTAAACTTACCACCATGTGAGATTGATGATTTTCATTGAGATTTCTTGTCCGGGACCTGTTCTCTGCCATATTTATTAACAACTCTCGCTTAAGTGGCATTGAAATGCTTAGTTCAGAAAACAAAAGGTGAAGCTAGGGAAATTGTTTCAAGGTTTCCGCCCACTCATAAAAGTTTCGCTATAGCTTGGCAGTCGTTGAAGGATACGTACGATAATAAACGTATTCATAACCATCTCAAGTTCTTATTCGACCTTCCCTTTCTAGAATTTGAGTCTAGTTCTGATTCTGCTATGTCAGTGTATGATGTAGCTTCGGATCACTGGGATCCAATTTTGGTATATATTTGTCAGCACTGTTTACCTACAATAACTGCAGCTTTGTGAGAGCAGAGTATAAAAGTTAAATCCTCGCTATCCTCTTGGGAAGATTTGAATAAATTCCTTACTGAAAGGATTCAAACTTTAGCTAGTTTACGAGACATTAGAGGTTCTCTTTCTAGTCCTATTTCGAAAAGTAGAGTCAAAACACATTTAGTTAACTCAGCTGTAAAAGACAATTCAAAATTCACCTGCATTCTTTGTAGAAATGAGTCCCATTCATTACGCTCATGCCCAAAATTTAGAACTCTTTCAAGGTTGTTGTTTAAATTGTCACTCTTCAGGGCATTCTGTCAAAAATTGTGCCAGTAATCATAACTGTAATATTTGTAAAATTCGTCATCATACTGTGTTGCATAAGCCTACTGCTTCTTCTCAATCATCTAGGATTGGTTCTCCTCAGTCCTCTAGTATTGGTTCTTCTCTATCGTCTAGGCCTTCAATTCTATCGCGATAAATGTTGTCAATCCTCCACAAGTAGATGACAATGAGGCATCAACTTCTACTGGCACCAGTCCTAGAGTAGTAAATGGCCATGTGATCCATATCAATGGTCAACATCGTTTATTCCGGAGTTTCGTACCCTGTTCGGACTCTTATCGACCCTGGCTCGGAGGCTTCGTTCATATCTGAACATTTACAAAAAACGTCTCAAATTGCCCACTCATCCAGTCTCTGCCACCGTTACTGGTGTAAATTGTTCATTCTATGCCATTTCGAAGAATAATTGTTCATTTCGCGTTGGTTCTCGCTTCAATTCTTCATTAACTGTTGATGGTAATGCTTTCGTTTTTCCAAAAATATATAGAAATCTTCCTTCAGTGTCCCTTAGTTCTAATCTTACATCTTACTTATCCAATCTTCCGTTAGCCGATGCTCACCTCTTCAATTGTAGACCTGTCGATTTGTTATTAGGGGCAGATTTGTATCCACAGATCTTGAGTGAAGGGACAATTACATATATTCAACATGTATTAAAAATCATCCTAGGAGTAATTGCACCATATGAGGTGCAGTCGCTGTCAACTTTCGCATTAAATAATCTTCACACATAAACTTATTTGTTCCGAATTTTCGATTCAAAAATAGATTTCATGATTTTTACTATGAACAAACCGATATCTCTTAAAAAATCTCTCTTATTATGAAGTGATTTTTAAAACAAAATACATTTCATTATCGATTTTCTCAGCCTTTTGTTTTAGGAAATTAATCAAGGAGCGAACCGGATTATATATTTTTCCTACTTTATAAAAGTATACACATAATTTTATCACTCAATAACTGCACTCGTGAATAATGTATTATATTTTTATGTGATTTTAGGTGTATGAGCTGGAAAGGCGATTCAAACAACAACGTTATTTATCAGCACCTGAGCGAGAACATCTTGCGAGTCTTATTCATTTAACACCAACACAGGTAATTCGAACAAATATATTAACAATATTAATTAAATATAACAGCGTAATGAAAATATCAGTATGGCGAATTTAAGGGGTTTCATTTATAAAATGTGGGGGTAATGTGGTACAATATGGTATGATAATGTGGTATAACACACACAATTAGAGGCTTCATTTCAATCTTTATTAGAACACTGTTTCTATTAAAAATAGAATATCGACGTAATTTCCAGTAAATATTTTACTAGTTCAGCCTCCAGTGATGCAGTAAAAGTTATAGGACGGTCAAGAAAGACATACATAATGTTTTGTTATCTTACCTGGGGAACATTAAATGCCTTTAATGTCAGCAATCGTCAGCACATTATTCTTAACATCCACTGTTAATTTTCGAATTTCACAATTTACTACATGAGACGCACAATTGTAATTATAAAACACTATGGACATATAGTGTAAATTTAAGCATTGCTCTTACAAAAGTCCTAGTCTTGACTGCATAAAAAATAATAACTAAACTATTATTTAAAAAAACTAGCTTTGAAAAATAACATAAATTTCGTGTTTATTACGGAAAATGATAGAAAAGTCGACGTCGAAGGCAAAAATCGAAAAGTCTAAAAACCGATTTTTCGGTCAGAAGCAAAAATGAAATCTAAGAGTCGACTATTGTGCACGACCTATGCCTATCAACGATGGGGAAATAAATAGAAATCTTCAACATTTTACACGCAAAAGATAGAGTGAAAAAAAGAAACTATACGGAATAGATACAACTTTTTCAAATCATCACACTTTTACTTTTATTAATGTTATTATTAGTCATTTTTATTTGAATTAGTTCAATAAATTATTTACAGTAACAATAAAATATATATAAAAACCAAAATATCGAAAAAATATGTCATTAATATAAAATGAAGTGGATTTTATTTTATTAGTTAGTTAGTTTGAAAAGAGGGGTGGTATAAACCACCACATGTCCATTATGGGACATACACGTAAGCCTTAGGAGGCCTGTTGTGCGCTCTAGGAAGGAAAGGTATTTAGATTGAAATTATTCTTAAATTTTTTGGTTGGTCTTCCTATTCTTCTAGGAATTCTTTGTTTTTACTGAAGTCCTTTATTATTCTCCATTCACACCCCCTTAGGTCATTTGGTTCAGGAATAGTGTCGTTTTTCAAGAATTGGGTTCGGATGCATGCAAAAGCCGAGCAATGGCATAGGAAATGTTCCAACGTTTCGTTGTCTTCTCCACACGCTCTGCACCTGCTGCTTCCCGAACACCCACTCTTGTGTAAATATGACTGCAGGTTAAGATGTCCTGTGAGAATGCCTATCAGTCTGCTTAGTTCTTTCTTGTTTAGCGTAAGTATTTGCTTAGTCTTATCCTGATTTGGGTCTCCACATAAGATTTTTGTGTTTTTTCCAATACTCTCGTTATTCCAGAGAGTTTTGTGCGCCTCTTTCGCCCATGACCTCATTTCTAGACGTGAAGCGCTAAAAGGTTTTGCACTGTTCACATCTATGTTGATTAGGTCCGTAGCACGTCTGGGGAGTTGGTTGGCTATCTCGTTTCCTATGACTCCTGAGTGACCCGGTACCCATATAATACGTACAAGACCGTGTCGTGAGAAATTGTTTTTATGCATTCCATTACACTTTTTGATGAAACTGTTTTGGATGTTATTGCATTAATAGCATAGTTATTATGCCCAGAGTTAGAGCTTAACCATCTTAGACACTCCGTTATAGCTTGAGCCTCCGCCTGTAGGATCGTGTTGTGATCTGGCAGGCGAAAAGAGATTTCAGTCTCCGGTTCTTCAATAAAAAGTCCCAGTCCCGTCTTTACCGCAAGCCAGGATCCATCTGGGTACAACAGAGGCATATGTGCTAGTGTTCCGCTGCTCCATGAGTCTCTGTCCGGTATCAGGATTTCACACAATGTGATTACTCTTATTTCGATCTGACTCAAAGTGGTTAAATGAGTATCCGATCGTAGCCTGTAGTGTATTTTCGTGCGGTGTGTTGTTCCGTTGTCGATCCACTCGTTCATGGCTTTAAGTCTTAAAGCTATCTTAAAGTCTATTTTATTATAAAAATCAAAAAATATCAGAAAATAATACATTTACGGGCACAGCGTTTATAATATATCGGCTTACAATTTGTCCGCCCGTAACCTAGCTAGCTTTTTGAGTTGTCGAACCGAATGCAGATGGGTGAACATGTTTTCGCTGTGCCATTTTATTTTCTTTTGTTAAACATTTTTTTGGCATTCTAACAATCATATCTAACATAACCAAGGTATTTTCTTTAATATATTAACTCGAGGGGGCAGCATTGAACAAGGTGATACTAATCTCGATATCAATTTCGCTGATGTACCATTTGTAGATTAATTACGCCAATGTATCATTTGTAGATTAATTTGCTCTAGAGGGCCATAAAGATTAATATAACGATTTGAGCCACGAGACTACATATTAGAAGAGTGCTTCAATAAAAATAATTTAAAATCCTTGGTTTTTTGAAGAGGAAGCAAGATTTGTAGTGTACAAGGGTTCGAATTTTATGCAAATGATCATGTTTTTTAGGATGGATATAATGGCTTAGCACGCATTTTTCTCCGGCCTTGTTAGTAACTACACGCAGAAAAATATATGTTAGAAATATGTTTGCATCCAAACATATTTATGTTTGGGACTGGTTGCAAACAAATATATGTTTGGATGCAAACATATTTTGTTTGGATCCAAACATATATTTGTTTGCAACATTTTGTAGCATATCTTTATTTTATATGTTTGGGTACTAACATATTTTTTATGTTGGAACATATTTTGTATAGTTTGAGAGAACATTTTTTTCGAAGAGCGTAACAACAGTGCTCTCTCTCTGTGTGTATGGTTCATTATGAGATGCAGAAGAGGCGAGGGGAGGGTAGTTGCACTTTGGTGGTCTGTATGCGGGCAAACGCTTGTGTTTAGTTCTATGTTGTTGCTGCTGCGAGGGGACGGGGTCGAAGAAACGCATGTGTTCTGTGCTTTGTTGTTGTGACGATTTGTTTCACAAGCAGGCCCGTTTTTGCATGTTACATATTTTTTTTTAGAATTGTACAGCCTCTCAGAAGACCAGTTCGAAAAAATTCTTCTTCAGTGTGTGTCAACACCAACATTTCAAATTGAGTTGTAGATTGGAGGTAAGAATACTGCATTTATTATTTTTTTGAATAATAAATTTACATACTTTATTTTCATATAGGTTTTGTACGATTTAATAAGATATGGTAAATATCTCAAAGGCCATAATTGACGAATGAAAGACAACCCCAACAACATTTTAATATAGATATAAAGGTTAATATATAAATTCAAATATAAATAGACATTGAAATATATATATATATATATATATATATATATTGTGTCTATTTATATTTGAAATTATATATATATATATATATAAGTTATAGATACTTATAATCATATTAATATATGTAACGCCTCAGTTGGCCCTTGAAAAATATTCTTTAATAAATCCACGCCTCAGTTGGCCCTTGCAAAATATTCTTTAATAAATCCACGCCTCAGTTGGCCCTTGAAAAATATTCTTTAATAAATCCACGCCTCAGTTGGCCCTTGAAAAATATTCTTTAATAAATCCACGCCTCAGTTGGCCCTTGAAAAATATTCTTTAATAAATCCACGCCTCAGTTGGCCCTTGAAAAATATTCTTTAATAAATCCACGAAAAATATTCTTTAATAAATCCACGCCTCAGTTGGCCCTTGAAAAATATTCTTTAATAAATCCACGCCTCAGTTCAGTTGGCCCTTGAAAAATATTCTTTAATAAATCCACGCCTCAGTTGGCCCTTGAAAAATATTCTTTAATAAATCCACGCCTCAGTTGGCCCTTGAAAAATATTCTTTAATAAATCCACGCCTCAGTTGGCCCTTGAAAAATATTCTTTAATAAATCCACGCCTCAGTTGGCCCTTGAAAAATATTCTTTAATAAATCCACGCCTCAGTTGGCCCTTGAAAAATATTCTTTAATAAATCCACGCCTCAGTTGGCCATTGAAAAATATTCCCTTGAAAAATATTCTTTAATAAATCCACGCCTCAGTTGGCCCTTGAAAAATATTCTTTAATAAATCCACGCCTCAGTTGGCCCTTGAAAAATATTCTTTAATAAATCCACGCCTCAGTTGGCCCTTGAAAAATATTAGGGCTGGGTTTTTGAAAATTCGTACTAGAAAGTGCTAACAAGTACTAAATGTGAAACCATTTGTATTTGGCGAACCGGTGGAGGTAGAACTCTGAAATTTGGTTTGGTGGTCGTTGATGGAGTGCAGGATAGATGTAACAAAGGATTTTTGGAAATTCGAACTATAACTATCCAAAAATGTACTAAATTTGGTACTATTCTGTAGCAAATTGAAATTTGGAGTGTGAATTATGGTTTAGAAGTAGGGTCCATTTAAGGTTATGGTTTTGAAAGCTTGTACTCATGTGCACGAAAAGTACTATATGGTACTATATTTGGTACAAATTTAATTTGGAGATACAAATCGAGCTGGAATTCTGGGATTTGAAATTAAAAGTAACATCGAAGTGTAGGATTGGGATATGAACGTAGTTTTGGAAAGTTGTTAATTGTGTATACGAAAAGTACTAAATCGTACTATAATCGGTACAGTTTGGATTTGGGTGAACCGATAGAGCGGGAACAATGAAATTTGAAGTTAGGATCACTGTACGGGTGTGGGATTGGGGTCAGGATTCAGTTTAAGAAAATAATACTTATGGGTACTAAGTGGTACTAAATTTTGTACAATTTAAATTTTAGGTGAACCAATAAAGCTAGAATCATGAAATTTGGAGACAGGATTATTGTTGAGGTGTAAGATTGAGATATGTAGGAAGTTTTAGAAATTAGTACTTATGTTTACTAAATTTGGTACAATTTGAATTGTGAGTCAACCGATAGAGTTGGAATCCTGAAACTTGGATTT